ACCTATTTCCCTCAAAGGGTTGTATCAAAAGAGCAATTTTTTTTTTTTTTAATGTCTGGGAAGTGGAAATTAAAAACAGGCTATCCATCAATGAATTTATGGTATCTGAAACTCCCTTGAGCCCTAGGAAAACATAAAGCTCTGCCCTTTGGTCTTCTTTTCAGTCTGCCTGGATAAGCTGACTTTATGAGGCAACATAATTTGCAGTGACCTTTTCTGAAGCTGTTGATACACTTCCTGCTTCACTGGAAACCACCTTTTTAGCCATGCATGATGTTACTCCACATATATTGGAGTACAAATTTCAGGTTTTGTCATTAAACCCCGCAAAGCAATCCCATACTGTAGGTGGCTGTACTGGTGCAGGATGCTGTCGGAACTGCTGGGCTGCAGAAGCCAGCAATAAGGGATGGTTTTTGAAGGTTGGTTGGCCCTTGTTACACCACAGATAAATGCACGGAATCACTGGGGGAGGGGAATCTTTTATAATTGTAATTCTACCTCTTACTTGTACAGAGGAAGAATCATGCAATTTTATAAAAAGATTTTCAGACTTACTCCACATGTGAGTATTTAAGTGTACCTCTGTACGAATACATCTGAAACCTTATGCAAATTTAAACATCTACTGAGCTTTTAAATCTTGGTTTTGCCACATATAAAATGGGAAAAATATGTATTCTCATATAAATGAAGGCCCTTCTACAGCCAGAAGTTTGCCTTCAGCTGTAACTATTTCAGGATATCAGCTCCCACATGTGAGAACTGCAGAAGCACATGTGACATAATAATATGCTTATTTTCTTAACGTTTTACAAATTATTATATATATTGTTATTTTCATAGAATTATTTTCATGCATATCAATTATACTTTGTAGAACTGTGCAAGGCAGTCTGAAACGCTCCTTGAATCACTCAAGAACTGCTGTCTGAAGACTGTGCATCAAATTTATCCTTGAAATTTAGTGAAACCATACTGAGCAGATGATTAGTTCATTTTCTTTGCTTGCTTTCTTTATCACTCTTTATTTACTTTTATTTATCTCTCACGTGGTGAAGACCTTTGAGGCTTTTTTTTTCAGTGTTTAAAGAAATAAGCTGAAGCATCAATGATTTTTCTACTTGCAGAAATTATGTGCTGTGGCATGTTTTTTCAAGTAATGTGCTGGCCTAGCAAAGTAAATAATTAATCCAAGTCTCTCCAGAATCAATGCAATATTTTTTAGGTGCATCCTCCTTCACTGAAATGATGACTTAAAATTATTAACTGAAAGATATGGTTTCCTGAAGCTATAGTGTAGTAATAGGAAATTTATTCATTTGTATACTAAAAAGTTTAAATTGCAGAATGCATATTCTTACAGTAAAAAACCCCTAGAAACTGTTTTTGGGGTTGGCAAAAAGCAGAAGAATTTTGATGAAAATGAAAAAAAAGTATGGAGAAAACATTGGCAAGTTGGCAAAAAAATTAAACATATTTTTCAACAAAATTAATAATCATAAACTTTTTAAATCTGAATTGCAAGAGGTTTCAGCTGGAATCTGAAAAGCTCTGTTTTGAAATGCCTCTTCAGTTCACATCTTGGAAATTTTCCATATCTTGGAAATTGGTCTTTGTAGGTTCTTGATGCTTTGCTCATGTAATGGGCTGGTGTTCCTGGCCAAGTTACATGCCCTCAGGTGTCCCACTGGGCTGCTGGGACATGGCAATGGATTTTGGGAAGTTACCAGTCACAAGTGGCATGAAGAAATTTGCCAACGTGCCAGAGTTGCCCAGTAGCCCCGGAGAAGTAGGTACAACACATTTCAGCTTTAACTTCCTTTGAGGTATTACAGCAATACTTCAGATGAAAATGTTTTTCTTTCAGTCAAAGGTTGAAACACTAACTTGGGTTAGACCAAAAGCCTGACCTTCCAGTTTTCAAAGGCTTTGCTGGTTGACTAGACTTTAAACTTTTCATGAATGTAGCTTTCTTTTCAAATGTACCACCAGTGTATTTGATGAGAATTGAGCAACAAATTGTATAGCCGTATTGTGTATTACACTTATCCCAACCATTTGACCCCTGACTGTGTTCTTTCTAGTTTGTTCTTGGTTTTGCCCTTTGTTTCATTCACATCAAGAGTTTTTCTAAGCACTTTCAGAGCTTCTCTGAGTGAAAGCCATAGAAAAGTCACCCTGCCTAAAAAGTATCCTTTCCATGAGTGGATCCCACTTTTTCCATTCCTCTAAGAGTACCACCACCAAAAAAATAATAGATGCATCAAAAATTGTGCTGCTCTAAGACTTAGGATGAGTCAACTTCAGTGTGTACTAGAAACAAATGTAATGCTTGGCATACAGTTCTCTGAAAGATTATAAAATTAAACTCATGTAATTTGATATATATAGAAGTGGTACTGTTGTCATATATTATGAGATATGACCACAGTTCCTGCAGTGTTTCAGTTCCTTTTTTCCCTGTCATCTGCGCAACTAATAGCAGATGACAACTCTGAGATCCACCAATTCCTTTCTAATGCCCTGCTCAAAACTAGAGCCAGCATTTGACATAATGCATTTTATCTCCCTCTTGTGCCCTTGCTTGCTTTTTCTATGTCGATCCCTCTCAGATGCAAATACCTATATCTTTATTTGCCTTTTTTGCGTATTTCTATACTTTAACAGTGATATACAGTCTTTTCTTTTTACAAGAAGAATTAAGAACACTACCTTCAGTCCTGTGAGATCATTTTCTGTATCTCTGAGAAAGGTATTTATGAGAGTCTTGATTGAGGAATGGAAGAAAAATTAAACCAGATCAGTAGAAATTATTTTCCTAATGGTAAAATCTGAATTATACATTAAAGTACCATTTATTCAATCAATTTTATTATTCTGTTTAGAATGACAGTCACTTTTATGTGTTTTGTATGCTTACAGAGGTTTATTAGCTTGAGTAAAAGGTTATTATTATTCAATTGAATAATTGAATTTTAAATTGTTGGTATTGCATTTCATATTATAACTGCTTTTCCTGATGCATTTGATTATGTCAAATTTGCCTTTTAATCCCCTGTTTGGAGACCATTTTCTTTCTCACTCTGCACTCTTTCTCACCCTTGTAGTGGTATCCTAATGAACACACAGTCCAGCCTCACATCTTCCATGTAAATTACTGTGCATACCTCTCCTAGTCAGATCACATCAGAGGCTATCTAGTGTCATATAATCCTGCATACTGATATGTGGAAAATCTTTTCAGGTGATTAATGCCATAGGCATCTCATTTTCCTGCAAAGCAATATCGCACTGTTTATGTGAATGCCAGACTTAGGGATATGAAATGGACATTTAGAAAAGTTAATAATCTGTGCCTAATCCTCTCCAAGAATTATCTGTTGGTATTTCTATAAATAATTGCAGCTTTATTTCTTGTCGCTAGTGAAATCACATATTAATTTATTAAATGCATTGTTCACTAAGAACTTGGAACTTTGCTTTAAATCTCATCGCATGGGTGAAATATATACATGTAAAGCTACACATAAAATATCTTTGCATTTGAAACATACATTAAATAAAAAGTCATAAAATAACTGTGCTGTGGTATTTGTTTTCTTGCTTTGTTTGTTTGCTTAATGCTTGAGCAAATGTGCCCTTCAAAAAGGTTTCATGTTTGCTAGAAACATAAGATTTGTTCTTGACTGCACATGTGGATACTGTGATTCCTGAGCCTAACACTGAAATTCTCAATTAAAATGACAGACCATACAAAAACCAGTCCAACACAACAAAGTATCAGGGCAGGCAGACCCAGAATGGAATATCCTGTGAGCATTCTTCATTGCTAGCATTCAATACCCAACCCATAATATTAGCGTTGCCAAAGGTGCTGTGTTTATTTGCATGGACCTGTGAATTACATAATTTTCTGCTGTTATCAGGCTGCTCTTACCTCTGCTGAGAAGCTTTTCCCTCAGCCAGGGCTTGTCCTTTAACTTCACTAGAAGCAGGATCAGCTTTTCACAGCCTTCCATAATTTTAAGCAAATTATGTTTTAGAAAGTAATCATTGAATTCTGAGATTTGACATAGGAAGCACTTTAAAAATGGCTTTGAATACTCTTAATTAGCTCAAGAATTACAGTCTCGTTCCTCTTCTATGCTGCTATTACAAGCATTTATCTCAACTGATTTCAACAGAGCTGCTTCTGTTTTACACTGGTGTCAGGGAACAAAAAAACCCAGGTTGCATAAATTGTTAACAGCTCTTTCATACTGCCTCTTTATTACCAGATAAAACTTTGATGAAGGACATTCACAGAAGATCAATATGAGAAACCACATAAGACCTGACTTTATGGTACTGGCTTATACGGAAAATCACAGAAATAACTACTTGTTTTTGAAGCTCTTACTTAAGGTGATGACTGGTTTGATGCTGCTTTTATTGAAAGAAATATTTCACCTTTAGGAGATGTACTGCCTCCTGAGTAAAGTTACTCCACAGCTCTGATTAAAGGGAGGTGGAAAAGGGAATGGAGAGCAGTTGTACATCTAGCAATGAGCAACTCTATCCTTCGTTTGAGGGAAGACCCCACTGTCTTTTCTCTGCTTTGCGAAGTTTGACATCTTCTTCCAAAGAACTGGGAAATATCACCTCATCAACAGCAATCTTTACCTGTAATTTATAGAGGCCAGAGCACAGCTGTGGGGTAAACAACAAATGGTAAACAACAAACATTATTACCAGTAATATATTGTCTGTGAGCTAATATAGCTCAGGATGTATTCACTGCCAAAAGCAAATATTTTCCTTGAGATTCACTTAGATGACAGTGTTTGTTTATGTAGTGGTCTACCTGTGTATGAAGAAGTGAGCAGGAATAAAAATGCAATTGCAATCACATATAGTAAATCCAATTTGTATTAATGTTTCTCCAACCTAATGGCTGTCAAATACACATTTCTGCCTGTCTGGCAGTCTGCCTTAATTTGTTTCTGTCAAGTGAAGAATAAACATTTTATCACGAGTTTGTTTTTGTGTTTCTTTTCTAAAAAAAACCCAAACACACTAACACTGACGCTTACAGAGGTGGCTATTTTTAGAAAGTTTGCTCTTCACACACTTAATCAAGACCATCATACTTTACTTGCTTTCCTCCAACTGTTACTAAAGCCATCCACAGCCTTCGAAATCCAAGTGTTATGAAGTGGAAATGCCTGTGCAGAAAGGTCTCTGATGAGAGAGTCTTGATGACAGGCTTAATCCCAAGATCAGCAGAAGCTCAGTTGCGCTCCTTTTTCTCCCTGAGGTAGCTGAAGAGGGCATCCAGGCCCCCCTCGACAACCTCGGGCAGGGGCCGGGACAAGGGGTTGTGGGCGACATGGAAGCCTTTATCCATTGGGTTCCAGGCAATGCGGCGCAGCCGGCGCAAAAGGTAGAGGTCATCAGGGAGAGTCTGTATGGCATTGTAATCAACGTTTAGTAACTCTAGAGTGGTGATGTAGCAAAGAGACCGTGGCAGACTGCGTATGTTGTTATTCTCCACAATAAAGATTTGCAGATTGACCAGATACTGGATACTCTCTGCGATGTTTTCCAGTCTATTGGACCCTAGGTGCAAGAAATCTAAGCTCCTCAGTGCGAAAATGCAGAGGGGAATTTGCACAAAGCGGTTGTTACTGAGGTTCAGTTTCCTCAAACTTGTCAGGTCAGTGAAGCTCAAAGGCAGTTGTGAGATGCGGTTGTGCGAGAGGCTCAGAACCTCCAGCTTCCTGCACAAGCTGAGCTCTGCTGGCACTTCTGTCAGGCAATTCATATTGACAAACAAGACCTTCAGGTTCCTCAGCAGCCCGATTTCTTTAGGCAGATTCTTGAGACAATTACCCCCCAAGTTCAGCACTACCAGCCTGTCCAGTTTCCCCAGCAAAGGAGGAATCACCACCAACTGGTTGCGTGAAAGGTTCAGCTTCTGCACCTCATGCAGTCCCCACAAGAAGTCAGGCGTGTTGGTCATCCCTTTCATTATGAGGCTCAAGCTGACATAACGCAATCCCCGTTTCAGCAGTGACTTGGGCTCTCTCCCTGAGAGAAGGGCGTCTTCCCATGCAGGCAACTTTGGACCTTTCCTAAGAAAAACCATGCTCCTTCGCCCCTCGTTCTTTGAGTGTTCAGTTCCCATAATACTCTGGTTCCCTCCTGAGAGAAGTGAGGTTTTCTTCCCTTGCAAGTGCTACGCCAATATGCAAATGCCAACAGAGGATGAGAGCTTGCAGGAGGTGGGAAAGTCAAAGCAAGGAGAAAAGGAGGAGCCTGTGAAGTGCATCTCAGTCCACCAGGGCAGTTTCCGTAGCTGCTGAGGGAAAGTTTCACTTTTGGGGGCTTATGTTGATCTTGGTGCAGAGTCTGTAATGAAATACTTGCTCCTGACTTGCGAGCAAACCTGTTCAATTCAAACTGAATGCCACAAGACAGCTGTCACTGTCATTTGGCCTGGGCTTTATTGGACAGATATGTATCTTCACTGCAAAAAGGTCACAAGGATGCTGTATATAACTTCACCATGTCAGCTTTCTTGGCTATCTGGTACATACCATGCCTGCAGGACAATTAACAAGAGTGACTTCAAAAAAACAAACAAGCAAGCTAAAGAAGAAAACAAGCAAAGAAGCCATCATTTAGATTCAGATTTAAAGGACATTTTCATAATATTTTTTATTTTGATGTTCCTGATTTCACTGAAGTAGTTACTAGTCTACTGGAAAATTTTGCACGCTGCAAAAACACTAGTAATGCTGACTTGTTATGTCAGTCCTTCTTTCTGTTTAGTAAAAAAAAAAATCTAAAAAAGGAAAAAAACACTCTCAAAAGGTGTTAGCTTTTATATCCCCTTTGCGGTGAGGATAGTCCTCTTTCTTTTCAGAAAGAGTATCACCTTCACTGCAGCGGTGACATTTTCCAGTGGTATCTGCGCCCACTTGGATGATTGCTACCCACGTTGCCAAATGTGAGCAGTCATACCTCACAGTTCTGCCCAAATTGCTCTGTCCTAAATGTCTGGTGCTAATTTCACACCTATCAACCAGATTTTTGGGGTCTGGTTCTTTTGTGCTCCAGAAAATAGAGCCTCTTGATATCCCTTTCCCTGTGATCTTTCATGTCTTTCTGGGCTGTTCTGGGGTACAGGGGGACTAGCAGTCAAAGAGTTTGAACTATAAATGACATTTAGATCTGAGATAGAGGGACTGATGGGAGAGGAAGGAAGCAGTGAGGTATAATAATACCCAACAGCAGCTGAAGCAAGCTCTACTGGTGAAAGGAAATTGTATTGCTACAGGAATATGCATGCAGTGAGTTTAAACTCAAAGGGACTCTAAAAAGGATCTGCAAAAACTTTAGGCACCATTTAAATTAGATGAAAATTGCAACAAACAGTACAAGACTTTCAGGGCTTTTTCTCTCCATTGGATGATCCATGGTGATGAGTATACCCTCCCTTACCACCTCATTTCAGAGATCCTCCCCTTAAAACCTTGCATCAGCTCAGATGTTAAGGGATTATGCAAGAACCTGCAGATGGGAGTCAAGGCACAGGAGCAACCTCTTTGGAATCAATCCCCACAGTCCTTTCTTACTGACAAACACCACTCAGTCTCCTTTGAGCTTTAGGTCCTTCATAGAGCTGCATCCACTTGGGAAGAAAGGGGAGAGAGGAGGCATCCCTGGCAGCTGAGGAGAGCGGTCAGGACCACAGTGAGTAGCACAAGATGGTGGCAAGCTGAGTGAGCCACACAATTAAAACCTGTGCTTTAACAGGGCTGCCAACTGGGTCCTGAGGCTGAAATATTGCACTCCCTGGAGTGCCTGGGCGAGCCTGAAAGGGCTGAGGCCAGTTGTATCTGTTCGGTTAGAGCGGGTTGGCAGCCTGACTGTGAGTCATAGATCCCTCCCTCACAAGCACTTTTTGCCAATATTTGTCCGTTTGCAAACGTTATGCTAAATGCCATTGCAGTCATAAGGTCTGAGTCTTGTTAACCATCATTCCCACATGCTGCCCAGATTGGCAGAGATAACCCTGCCGCTGCAGGCAGAGGAGCCCTCAGTGGAGGAAACCCAGCAGCTGGCTGAACTCGGACTTGATTGTGCCTTGCATGATGGGGGGCGTAAGCCTAAAATGTGGCCCTTCAGCCCAAGCAGGTGGAGAAGCAAAAGCAAGAGCCTCTCATGAGCTCTGTCTCTGGGTTGTCAGCCCAGCTGGTGTTAAAAATGCTCCGATTATCAGAGACCCTCCATGGATTTGAACAAGGCAAGAAGAAAAAAGCTTTTTAGAGAGCATTTATAAGGTTAGGAATTTCCCTTCTTTTAGTCTCACTGCTGGAATGAGGAACCTGCCACAGCTCTACTCAGAGATTGGCATTGCTCCCCTTGACTGGGCTCCTACTTGTGACCACAGCCCCACGGTCACTTCAGAGCCTTTCCTTCTGCAGGTCATTTTAGTAAGAAACAAAAACAAAACACAAAGGAAACACAGTCTTCCTGTAGTCGCAGCCTGCCCCCATGGCTGGCCAGATATTTTTGGATGAGAACGTCATCCTCATCTCCAAAACACATTGGAGTTCACTGCCTGGGGACTTGGCAGTGCCCAATCTGGCCTCTCACCACAGAAATCCTTGTTTCCTAACAGTGTGACTCAGCCAAAGTGCTCTGTACCCCTCCCTGGCTTTGCACCATGTCCGTTTGAAACTAAGCCTGTGACACAGCCCAGTACAGTCTGGGCTGGGCTATTGTGGGAAAGCTTCACCCGGGGATCTCTTTCAAAGAAAAATGCTTGCTCTGCTTCAGCCTCAGAACATCTCCTGCTATTGCACTGCTGTATCTCCCCTGCCTGGCAGGCAGCAAGCAGCAGTAAAGGGGATTTAAAAAAGAAATTCCACATCTGCAGCTCTCATTGTCCGGTTCCCTTCCTGCCTCCACGAGTACCATAACTGCTGTGTGAAATAAAATAAAAATAACCATTTCCTTTTCTTTGTTCTCCAACAGAAAAACAGGCTATTGAGCACACTTGTAGTTGTGGAGACAGAAAACTCTGAGGTAAGCAAATTAAATCTCTTTCTTGAAATCGAGATAGTAAAACAACAGTGGCCTCATCTGGACATCTCAGGAACTAAAATTCGGAACGAAAATAATCCCTTATCCGTTGGTGTCCTGGACGGGTTTTGTTCAAACATTTTTCACTTTGCTTTTCTCTGCGTTGCCTGCCTCCCTGTCCTGGCCCATGCTGTGCTGTGCTGTGCTGAGGATGGATCAATTCCTTTGGGCTGCTCTTAGGTGTCTGGGCCAGGAAAAAACACTGACCTGTGTCCACACAGCCTGGCAGAAAGCAGAAATTAATTTCAGGCATGCAGGTTTGGAAGAGAAAATAACTCAAGAAAATTACTGGGCTTTACATGACACAGTGTAGTTGATAACTGCTTTGTAGACTAAACAAAAAAGTTAGTGTACAAGGGGAAAAATAACTTGCTAAAGAATTTTTTAGTCTAACTAATACAGTAAGAGAAACTGCACTACTAACAATGATAAAAAACTGGTAAGCTGACAAAAATGACAAGTTATATTTTCTGACATTCTTTGATAATGTAAATTATTAGATTTTTTTTCTTAAGGAAGCAGGATTGTCAGCCCTAAAAAAAAAGCTGAAGATGAGTTCACAAAAGACCTGGAATTTTAAAGTCTATTATCTATGGGTTCTTTTATTTGACTTCAGGTTTGGAGTCTATAGAATACACTTGGGAAACATTTTCAAGCTTTTCTCTGCAGCCAGGCAGAAGTTGCAATAAAACCAGTTGAATTGTTTTTAAGTAAAATTTGAGTCCATCATGTAATTACTTCTCCGTAGGATTTGAGCTTTTAATAAAATATCTAATAACATCAGGCTTTTAAGGAAAATACAGCCATTTTGACACACTGAGTTTAAGTTTTGTTTTGCTTCAAAACAAAATACTGTCATTGTCTTTTAAATTATTTAGCACACAATAGATGCCTATACTTTTATTAGCACATATCTATACATTCGTAATTAATTTTGAAGCAAGTCCTATGTTCTCTATGGAGTCGAAATCATATATAGTTCCTCTGTCTCAGCGTTATTAAAAATATATTAATATAAGAAAGAAACCTTTAAATCTTTAAGCATAGCCTTTTCTAAAATGCTGGTAAGTTCAACCCATATTCTTTTGGAAGAAATTTTCATTTCAATTCATTATCTAGGTCTTGTAATAAACATCCATCTGAACGAGGATTCAGAAAATAGCTAACACTTCTTGTGACAGGAAGGATGCTTTGACTAAAAGGGGTTAACTGGTTTCAAGTTCATCAGAAAGCAACAGTCATGCTGGAGAAATATTCAGTACAAATACAGCTGCAGCTACTGAACCATCTTCCCTTGTGCTATTTCTTTCCTCTGGAGTAAATAAAGAGTTTTAAGAGCATCAGTGCTATTCAGACTGTCAGAGATATCCTCTGGTCTTAGTGCTAAGGAAGCAAATTTTGTAGATTTTTAACTACTTTGCAGTGGTTTGTTGATCTTGCAGCTATTCTGAAATATTAAGTCAAATTTCAAAGGTAATTTGAGATTTATGAGATGTGACACAAGACAGGAACAATTCTTCAGGCAATTTCAGATTTCCTGTTAATTTGTTTTTAATTATGGTGCTGTTAATAGCCTTTAATGACTGTCTGTCCCTGGAGTTTTCCTGGAATGTTTTATTAAGGTCCCATGTGGAGCTGCTGGATCGTCTGACCCCTGAAGAATTGGACCTGGAGGTGAATGACCGCCTCTGCAGAGGCTGATTTTATTGCAGACCTCTTGACAGAAGACAAGTTTGAGCCATCCATAGTATGGAATAAAGAGAGAGAGATTTGGGGTTGTATGTAGCCTAGAAATGACAGGCTCTTCCTCCTGATAGTCAGGGCCAGCAGCAATTCTCATGTTACACGGAATTACTGGAAGTTTTATTTCTTTTCTTCAAACTTGCTGTAATATTTTAAAATTCCAGCAAATGCATAAATGACTGATTAGTCACCTCCTACTTCTGCCACAATTTCCCTGTGTATATGCAAGCCAAATAGCTGGTCTGTCTGCCTATATCAAACACAGGCCACCCATGATCCTGCACTGCACAATCATCCATGTTCTCTGGGGCACTTTTTCATCCAGTGTCTGTGACAGTTCTCCCAGGCACCACCAAGACCTGCTTGCCTTAGGTGCTTGCTCACTCTGCAGGAAAAGGAAAGTTTAGCACATGGACATGCCCTAGGGCACACCTACTCCTGCAGGAGTACATGGAGGGCCCTGTCCTGCTTTATTTAG